TCTTAGATAAAAAAAAAAAAAAAAAAATGGTGTGGCAGATGGGTACCAAAAATGTTAACCAATGAACCCAAGCAGAAATGCCTGGCTTCGGCTTAAAATTATTTGCAGCGCTATCAAAATGAAGGAGGTGAAATTAGGGTGCACATTGTTACTGGAGATGAGACCTGGATGTTCAAATATCGAATGAAAGCAACAGTCGATGCAGTGGCCACACTCATGGTCTTCGAAAGCAAAGCAATTTAAGCAAGAACCTTCTGTCAAAAATATCATGGCCATTGTTTTCTGGGACAATCAGGGTTCTTGTTTAATGTTAATGCAAAGCTCATTGTGACACCCTGATAAAACTTAGACGTGCTATCTAAAACAAAAGACGTAGGTTGCTGTCCTGGGGAACTATACTTATACACAATAATGCTCAACCTCACGTCGCAGATGAAACTGTTCAATTGTTGCAAAAATTTCCCTGGAAAATCGTTGACCACCCGCCCTACAGTCCCGATCTGGCGCCAAATGATTACCACCTTTTCATGCACCTCAAAAAAGGGTTTGGCATGCCAGCGGTTTGAAACTGATGATGAACTGCAGACAGGCATTAATCAGTGGTTGAAGACACTGGTGGCAGACTTCTATGACATCGGAATTTAGAACCTTGTGCCACGATACCAAAAATGTGTGGAAGTCAGTGGTGACTGTTGAGAAATAAGGTAAATCTGTGGTTCATTTTTGGCTGCAATAAATCACTTTTATGTATGGTATTTTAAAAACATTTTTTTATATCCCGGGACTTACTTAAAAAACGCGCATCGTGTGTATACAGATTAGAATAAAACATTATTAAAGAACCGTTAGAATAGAAGGTAATCTACAAGCAGACCTACAAACACCTGGGAGTCACTAGCTGAAAAGAGAAGACCAAACACAGATACATGGAGGTAGGCAGGGGACATCGGCAGCAAAGAATCTAATTCTCAAGGGGTTGGAAGGCTAAAGAATAAGAGAAAAAGAATAATAAAAAAGAAAGACGTGCAGAACTCCCGACAACTGTCAAAAGCAGGGGCCTAGTTGGGGCCTGCAAATGTCAGGGAAAGGTCGTCATAGGCGTGTGAGGGATACTTATGACTGATGGGACTGGCAGGTTATCAGCCTAGAGAGAGAAGCCCGGTATAAACAATTTAGATACGGGGACAAGCACAAAGAACTCCCCACATGTGTTGGCTCTTTGTATGAATTTGGAACGGGGGGGGGGGGGAGGGGGGGGGGGCTCAGGAGATAACCCATTTTGGAATGAAGGATAGGCAGGTGGTAATCGATAAACTCTGCACGAGACAAGAAAGAAAGTCACACACACAAGAGAAATGGAGATCGAGAGAGGGAGGGGTAGAGAGAGAGAGAGAGCGAGAGAGAGAGAGAGAGACAAGAGAGACGGTTGCATATAATTTATCAGATAGATGGTATGATTACATGATGTCTGTCAGCCTTTAGTACGATATGTGCAAGCGGGACATGAATGATACAGTTTTTGAGGGACACAGGAGATAATCCATTTTTTTAAATAAAGGATAAGCGGATGGTAATTAATACACTTAGCAGGAGACAAGAAAGAAAGTCTCACAGACAATGAAGATCGAGAGAGAGAGAGAAAAGAAAGAAAGACATGCACAAAAGAAACGGAGATCGAGAGATAGAGAGAAAGAGAGAGAGAAAGAGAGGGGAGAAGAAAGAAAGACACAAGAAAAACGGTTGCACGTGTAGATGAATATAATTTATAAGATAAATGGTATGGGCACTGGATGTCCTTCCGCCTTTACTGCGATATATGCAAGCGGGACATGAATGATACAAGAATTGAGGGAGTAATTAGTCTGTACAGGATGGCAGTAACCGTGCAGCACTGTGAAGGACAAATCTGAAAGGGAATAAGAATTAAGGAGAAAAAGATTGTTGAGAGTGAGAGCGGATCGTCTGAGAAGAAAGAAAATAAATACATGGCGCGGCGACAATGAATCTGAAATCCCAGGCTCTGATTGTTCATTGCAGAACCCACAGGGGCATAGGAATAAAGGAAGGCCAAAAAACACATGCAGAAGAGAGCTGGAGAATGAAGTTAGAAAGATGGGGAGGACATGGGGAGAGCTCCATGCAGTGGCGAAGGATAGAACGACTTGGCGTGAGTTGGTTGAGGGCCTATGCTCCATTGGGGGATAGAAAGTCAGAAGAAGAAGAATTGTGGAAGGAGTTTGTAAACCGAGCGGGTCTTGCTGATCACATTAGACATCGCTATGGACTGTGGTTTCCCATAATTTCATATAGCACCCTACGACACTATCATCTGGAAAGATGTAAAGGTGCCAGCGACCATATAGATTGATGTTATTTTTCTCAAAATGTGGGCCGTGTGACATTGGTAACATGTATGTTCACAAATTTATGTCTGTTATAATGCCAGTCATTTGTCTCTCATACCATAAGGGCAGTGTCCAACATCCTTTCTCTTGGTCTGCCCCGCTTCTCTTCTCCTACTACTCTACTTCTTGTGCATTTTTTTTTTTTATTCCAGAAACCATGAGTTCTTATGAACCCTTTGACTGGGTACTATAGATATCGCAACTCTTCGGCCTTAATTCCATGATAAATACCGTAAATCTGGGAGAAATGAGGCTTTTCTACCTACACCCGGTCGTCGCGAAGTCAGGTTTAGCCAACTACGCTAGCGAGCCGGGCGCATTTGTTTTCAAAAGAGGATATTGCAGGTTATATTGATGTTTATAGCTAGGTTGCAATGTCTTTGTCTATCTATCCTATACATCCAGTTTAACTAACAGTTAATTGGTCGCCTTTTTCCTACATGCTTGGTAATGGGCGTGTGTCTATTATTTTTTGGTCTTGCAATTGGGTATCTGGAACTCAGTGTGGAATCTTATTTTTACTGTTCGGGTTTCCACGATTTACTCAAATTTGCTTCTTCTCAAAATGTGCAATGCGTATCATATGCGTCGGCAAGGTAACAGCTGCTTTCTAAAAGTCTTAGCGACATATTAAACAGTAAATTATGTGGTTTTAAAACCAAAGTGACGTATTTTTAATTCTGTTATTTCCATATTATCATATGCTAGTGAAAGTTGGAGAACAGCTGAAGACTCAGAGCGGAAGGAAACTGTTTAAGGAAACTGTTGAATATTAAATGGGATGAATTGAAGAAAGGTGCTGAAATATGAGAAATGTTCTGGAGAACTGCTTGTATTTACACTAATAATAATAATAATAAGAAGAAGAAGAAAGAGAAAAAGAAGAAGAAGAAGAAGAAGAAGAAGAAGAAGAAGAAGAAGAAGAAGACGAAGAAGTAGAAGACGAAAAAGTAGAAGAAAAATAAGAAGAGGAAGAAGAAAGATAGAAAGAGAAAGAAAAGAAGAAGAAGAAGAAGAAGAAGAAGAAGAAGAAGAAGAAGAAAGAAAAGAAGAAGAAGAAGAAGAAGAAGAAGAAGAAGAAGAAGAAGAAGAAGAAGAAGAAGAAGAAGAAGAAGAAGAAGAAGAAAAAAAAAGAAGAAAAAGAAGAAGAAAAAAAGAAGAAGAAGAAGAAGAAGAAAAGAGGAAGAAGAAGTGGAAGAAGAAGAAGAGGAAGAAGAAGAAGAAGAAGAAAAAAAAGAAGAAAAAGAAGAAGAAAAAAAGAAGAAGAAGAAGAAGAAGAAGAAGAAGAAAAGAGGAAGAAGAAGTGGAAGAAGAAGAAGAGGAAGAAGAAGAAGAAGAAGAAGAAGAGGAAGAAGAAGAAGAAGAAGAAAAGAAGAAGAAAAAGAAGAAGAAGAAGAAGAGGAAGAAGAAGAAGAAGAAAAGAAGAAGAAGAAGAAGAGGAAGAAGAAGAGGAGGAAGAAGAAGAGGAGGAAGAAGAGGAAGAAGAAGAAGAAAAAGAGGAAGAAGAAGAAGAAGAAGAAGAAGAAGAAGAAGAAGAAGAAGAAGAAGAAGAAGAAGAAGAGAAAGAAGAGGAAGAAGAAAAAGAAGAAGAAGAGAAAGAAAAAGAAGTATATTGGGCACATCATTAGGAGAGATGGACAGATAGTCTCTAAACAGGCACTCAGCTGGGAAATAAATGGAATGAGGAAAAAAGGGCATTCAAGAGTAAGATGATCGTAGCTGAGAGAGGGGCCACAGATACTAGCCCATATTCCCCTTTGTGATATTGCCAGATTTCACAGGATAGAATGGAACGGATGGACTAGATTATGAGCCCCATGTGAAGAATAACGGCACCACAAGATGATGATACTGATAACAGTGGTGAACAACACTGTAAATAATTCAGAAGCCATCCCATTTTCTCTAGGTTTTCTAAAACCCAAATGGCCTATGATGCCAGACTCTTTTGGCTTAGCTATTGATGCTAATGTTTCCTCCACAGGGTTTAGGTATTCTGTGGCTAACTGGCCCCCAACCCCATTTGTCAGAGAAAACAGGCTCCGGAACGAGGGTGCTCAGGTACCATGAGGCCCCCCCCCCCCCCCCCAATCCCAGGATATTTTTTATAAGAGGAGTAAGCGCCCCATCCTACCATCCATAGGAATTCTGTTTGCACATTTCATATTATTTCAGATTTATTGACCATTATTATTATTATTATTTATTACACACTTAAACATGGTTTAGGCTCTTTGAGTATTTGTCTGCACATTTCATATTATTTTAGATTTGTTGGCCATTATTATTATCATTATTTATTACACACTTAAATGGGTTTTAGGCTCTTTGAATATTTGTCTGCATATTTCATATTATTTCAGATTTATTGGCCATTATTATTATTATTATTTATTACACACTCAAACAGGGTTTAGGCTTTTTGAGTTTCCCCCTCCCCAAGAACATACGTGAAAGAGCTGAAAACTCCAGTACTTCCTTTATATATATTTTTTTATATTTGTGTGTGTTTGTGTGTGTGTGTATATATATATATATATATACACACACACACATATATATCTGTGTGTGTGTAAACATGCAACTTTGTTGCAGTGAAACCATGAGGCTGGATACAGGGTTGATCATCGAAGTATGGAACAAGGGAATGTTGTGGGACAAACTCTTAGGTCTGCATTGGCTTCCTCTGAGAAAAATCCAGCATTCAAATGAGGTGAGAGTTTACTGCTTTTGTACGTGCACTGTTTGACTCTTTCAGTGAAAACCAAATAGGGCCTTTTTTATGCCAGTGGGGCATCGGACATATGATGGGAGTCTTATGGTTTTTTTTTAATTGACCAGTGGTCAGCATCATGCTTAAAAAATTTTTTTGGGGGGAGGGGGAAAAAGGGGGGGGGGGGGGGGAGTTCTACCTTTAAATAGATGTGAACCCATGACTTTTGGATCCACAGCTATTGAGCAGCTAATCAATCAAATACCTACCTGTACACTCTGTGGCACTAGCCAGGCGGCCTGAAAACCTGATGTCCGAAGAGCTCTCTATCCACACTGCCAAAATTGTTGGTGTGTTCAAATGTTTATAGGTGTGCCTGTATATTATCTCTCCACTATCTTCTTGGTCTACCTCTCATTCAACCCTTTTGTTTATGCAGATTTATCTCCCCAGGATCTGCCATTCTCTGTGTTTGAGCCAATCAGTGCAGACTGTTAGCCCTCCTAGGGATTTGTGGTTATTGAAACAAATTATGAATTTTGTTGTAACTCTAAACTCTCCATTCTCTGTTGTTTGCAAACCTAATATGCTACTGTTAACTGCTTTGTCTCGGTGTCTTCTCATTGTAATTACTAAATATGTGTAAAATTCTCTTTAAACTCTATTATAGTATTTGGAATTGATACACACTGACATGATGATTCTACTTCTGCCTTTCTATCCCCCAATGAAGCATAGGCCCTCAACCAACTCACGCCAAGTCGTTCTATCCATGATGATTAGTCTGGTTATATATATGCCAAGACAGTGGTGCAGGTTCAGTCCCTAGCAATACCAGAATTATTTATTCCCAGAGATTTGACCCTCACTCATTAAATAAATAACCATTTTCCATTTCTTGCGGCTTGTTGGGGTAAATGGTGCTAATCTGGTATCATGAAAAGAAATCAAGCCAGACGAAAAGAAGAACTCGTCAGCTTCACAAAATCACAAACAACTTTGTAGCTAGAGAGCCTTAATCAGCTCATACATAAACCTACAGTACTGTAACTACAAACACAAATACACAAAAATCACGAGAGTGATAAATACAAATTAAAAAAGTGAAACAATTAAAACAGTAATGCGAAAAAATATATCAAACTTTCCACTTTGATTTTGAAGAGCATTTCCTGGTACTTTGGTGAGACTGGTTGACCTAGCCTGTTTTTTTTTCCTTCTTAACTTTTGTTTTCACTGCTGTGGGTATCCAGCATGAGATAAGGTTCTACTTCATGCTTTTCTAACTGTAAAATGCAAGAGGATCATGATGAGATGAGATGAGACCCATTCATTGGTTAGTGTAATTATAAGTCTAACACTTTATACCCCAATAGCACAATCTGCAATACGACTACTTTCAGTGATTATATTGTCAAAACGTATGTTCAGTTAAGATTGAGAAACCAAGCGTACACAGTTAAAATCTTCGCTGTCGAGATAAGCGCAAGAGAACTTATCTCTACTTTCACACACAGTGTGTTAAAGCAGATGGGCTTGGGAGGAACAGAGCGTAAACGGTCACTAAAACAACTGAAAATTTTAAATGGCGTTGAGCTAGCTTTGGACACAACAAAATGTTGTGGGGGATGGGCCTTGGTAGACTGGTCCAAGCCCCTAGTGGAAAAGGGCTTTTTAACCCTAAAAAGCCAAAGTGTCTGATAAATCTCTGCCAGTGTCTCTCTGCCAAATGCCAAAGTCTAACACAACTGTCCAATGAACCAACTGTAACCTTGTCACTTTGGTCGTGAAGGTATATGGCTAATTTGCTACCGCAGTGACAAATATAACGCTAACTCTCACGATACCTGTTGCAAAGTCACCATATCGTCTTGTCCCTGTCCCAGAGTCCAGTTAAGTGCAGCACGGGAAGATCGAGGCTTGGGGTCATAACCCAGGTCAGCCCATCTTCTAAGATTGTATAGGAAGTAATGGGCCGAAACAGTCCTCATCGAGGAATCTCTCTGCTGATGATCGGTGGACCTCTGCTTACCATGCTCCCCTGTGAAGTTCTTATTATTATTAAGAGAATCAACGTCATTGCACTACGTTTGATCCCATATGGCTTCGGTCTTTCTCTCCACAGAATGGATAGCCCCTTGCCAAGAGCATTACACAAAGTACAGACTGGTAGCTCTGGCTAGAAAAATATGAGCCTGACCTGAGATGTTGTGAAAAAATAAGCTTTTGTTTAACATTTCTATATTTGGTTTGTTCTAGGAGGGCAGCGGCAAGTGGTTGACTCTGGACTCTGAACTTGTGATTAACAATGGGGAAGTTGTTGGTACACACATTCCTACAGAACATCGAATTCTCATTGATGCACGCTTTGAACTTCCATATGGTGAGTGTTTCTTTATATTTTCTATTTCCCCACTTTATTTATATTTTACTATTTACAAGTTGTGTTTTATATGTATAGTGCTTCATACATTTCAGTGTTTTAAAATCCACTTTTCCTGTTTTGAATTTCAAAAAGAATCATTGGGATTTATTATTTATTTATCTGAAATTAATATTACCTTTTGAATAAAGAAGCATTGATTCTTCAGAAATATTTATATTTTACTGTTTATTATTATGTTTTTCATTCTATACTTTAGTAATAATGTATATAATGCTTCAGACATTGCATAGGTTAAAGAAAGAAGTTTTCCCATTGGAGATTCAAGTAATGAGGATACAAACAATGTATTGTTTAGCAAATTATGCTCTTGTCTTATCAAGTGCATTACTATAAAATTTTACGTCAGCAAATATTGAAACATCAGAAGAAATCTGAGTAACTAAAATAGAGTAACAAATTATATAAATTGTGTAGGTAGCACCATTATCCACGTTATCAGGCTTATTGAGCATAGAGGGCTAGACCTGTATTTGATAGACCAATCAACACATGAGGGGTGATGTGGTCAACATTACGCCGGCCACCTTTACTTCCGAGGACTATACCTAGTACCCATGCAAGGCTGGGGCAACCTGGGAACCAAGGTCATTAAAAAAAAAGCCAATTTTCATCTAGACCCAAACCCACAATCTTCCAATCCACAGGTGAGCGTCACGCTGCTACAGCACTGTGGCCCCAAATTCTATAATAATGCACTTGATGAGATAGGAAAATATGCCAGGTACTTCTCTAATCCTCTAATCAATAAATATGAATTATTTTTTTTGGGGTGGGGGGGGGGGGGGGGCGTACATCCTCCTTCTCCTCCTCTTCCTTCTTCTCTTCTATTATCTTCTTCTTCTTCTTCTTCTTCTTCTTCTTCTTCTTCTTCTTCTTCTTCTTCTTCTTCTTCTTCTGCTGCTGCTGCTGCTGCCGCTACTGCTGCTGCTTTGTTTTTCTTTTTGTTTTCATTGTCTTCATCTTCCTCTTCCTCTGCTGTATTCATTTTTAAAAGGATAGTTGGCACATTGTGTTGTAATTTTCAACTAGGCTGCAGTATCTAGTCTTCTCTGCCATCACTTTCGATCGCAACAAACCCACAGCTACCCCAGCCAGCCTTTCATGTTTTACAGTACATTAAATATATTGATCAGTAACAGGCTGTTTCCAGGGTGATATATGGCTGCGATTGATCCCTGCCACTTACTTTCACTCTCCTGGCTGACTGAAAGCTGCAACTTTTTCATAACATTATATTTTCCCATTGTATCACTTTTTTTTGTTGCTTGCCTCCTTCACCATCTCCCCTCAGAGAACTGCTACTTCCATCATAAAGGGACATTCTACATTCTCTGGTTATATAATAAAAAGGGAAAAACTAGAGTACAGGAAACAGGAAAGTGGAGGGGAAGAGATACATAGAGATACCAAGAGGGAGTTGGACAGGTTGTCATAATGATATAGACATAGATCTGAATAAGAAATGACTGGCGGCATAGACGACTGATGACTGCAGACAGACATGACTAGTAGTGCCACAGATTATTTTAAAAATAGATAGTTTTTATGCTGAATATAACAGGATCTGAGTATCTATACAGATGCTCTGTTTTGAGATGCAGAAGTGCATGGGTGTTACTAGCAAAAGAAGGTGGACAAATTGCAGTGCAGCAAAACCTGGCATATGTCACTATATTATCTAGTTTGAAAATGCTTGAAGACCAGATGCACTTAGATAACATGATTGTAACAGACTCTGAGCTTGCTAATATATACTTTACTTAGTCGCTCCTCTTCTACCTTGGGGTGTAGAGGTTTGCCAGAGAGATCGCCAGACATTTCTATCAGCAGTTTTCTTTCTGGCTTTGTTCCATTCCAGTCCTCTGACTTGCTAATATATGAGAAGGTTAACTGCATGCAGAGTGATGAGCATCTCTTCAGAGATCTCAGGGAGTAAGTATCCTTTGGATATATTCTCCGGGGCAATCATGTTTATTGATGCATGACAAGCTAGATGGGGTCACCGCCCTTCGGGAAAGAGAGTGATCAATGTAGAAGTGCAAATAGATCGTCATGGTCTGAAGAAAATAGTGAAGGAGGAAGTGACCAGGGGATCTGGTCAACACTGGACACTCAGAGAAATGGCAAGATGGACATCCAGTCATATATCAGAATTGGAACTCTGAGTTTGCTGTTGAAAGTCCTGTGATGTCAGTTCTTAACTGAGTTCTTAGGACTTAGTTTTTAATTGATAGTTTTTTTTTTTTTTTAAAGCTTTCCATAATAAAAAATGTGTCTTATTATTTTTTAGTCTCGCAGTGGGGTATCTGGAGATCAGTGTGGAATCTTTTTACTTTTTGGGTTTCCACTCCCTCTTGAAGGCTTTTGTTAGAGGTCTATATTCGACAAGGATCTACAGGTGTGATGATGTTGGCAATTGTTATATAAGTATTTTTTAAATGCAACATGACCATAATCTACTAACGGCATTTTCTGTATCGCTAGCACACAACCTACTCATGCACCAGTAGGAAACACTCTACTAAAATGATGCACTATGTCCTGTCATGTGTTACTTTAATTGATCTTGGTGCAAAATCCTGGCCACTAACCAGCTTTTTCCATTTTCTTATTATTTATTTACCAGATTTGCCAGAGTCAGAAGCAGCAGAATTGCAGGATAAACTATCTGTTATCAATTCCATGACCAACCAGGATGTAAGTAGAGTTTGTGCTCACATATGTTTTACTGCGACAGTTTATCATGTATAAGTATCAGGTTGTTTGTTTTAGTTTTTTTTGCAACTGTTGCCTCTTTGGAAGTTTCGCTTTTTAAAAGTTGTATTTAATTTATTTCTTCTTTTTTGTTTGTTAATAGTGTTATGAGTTTATACGTATTTGCTTCTATCAGTAGAATAATCAGTCTCTTATCTGTGCCATTAGGTATTTCTGTCTTTCTGTCTGTCTCATAACTCAATCATTTTTTATTTCAAGTACTTTTTGAGATATCTAAAAAAAATTCTTTGTGTTTGTGTTGACCTAACTCTGTAGTAATGTACCTGATGGAGATAAAGCAATAAATATTGCCAAGCAATAAATTGTGCAAGGTATTGTTTGTGTCCACATTTTTTAAATATCTATATAAGTAAATACATTTTTTAGAAGAAAACAAAAACTCTTCTTCTTCTTATAGTCTATGTCATGGGGTGTTGGTAATCTTGTCTATCCACAACCTTCTTTCCTGTGTACTTTCAGTTCATTTAGACACAGGGGATCTTCATTGCCATGTCAGACATACCAGCATCCTCTCTTTCAGTTGCCCTGTGCCTATTTTTTCCTCCAGTCGCCCACCCCCTCCATTAACTCCTTTTCGTGACATGACTGGAAAATGTAGATTGTCTCCTTTGCATGCTGTATAGAGCTAATTTTAACATATGGATGACAATTCTGAATCATTTTTAAACAAGCCAGAAGAGAGGCCTGAAAAATGTTATTTTATAAAAGAATTCTTGATGTTCCTTGGACAGCCTAAATGAGTGATATGTATGCTTTGACTTGGTTAGTGCCTTGTGGGAAAGCGTGTACAGATTGGAGGAGCAGATAGATCACCACAGTCTGGTGAGATTGATGCCCGGGGGGAGTGATGAGAGGTTATGGCAGATGCTCAAGGCTCAGAGAAAATGCAAGAAGGATGTTTAATCAAAATGCTACTGGCATCATTAGTATAGGAATTCTTCACTGGCTGCTGAAGATGGGGATGGAGCGCTTATGGGAATGCCCCGAGTGCTGTGTTGTCAGTTCTTGAATCAACTCAACTCAGCTCAACTTTGTATGCTTTGAAAGAGATGAGGGCATGAAGACAGTTTATCACAAACATCAAGAAGAGACGGTCCTTGTGTTTTCATCATGTTTTGAGATGAAAGAAACTGGAACATGTTTCACTGAAAAGATTTGTTGAAAGAGATGTAGATGAAGACAGTGATAGAAGATTCTTGTTAGCTTTTTGTCACGGCATGAAGGGATGTCAGCCCATCACTTGATACATGCTGTTGGATATTGTTGGTTGTGGAGATACATGATCACCCAAGCCAGTCATCAAAGTTTTTTATGATAGTGTTATAAATATATTGAAAATTTGTGTGGTTAGGCACCACAAATTATAGATTTTTTTAGGGGGGTCAACATAATCATACCCACATTATGCAGTTGCAACCAGTATTAAAGCTATTATATAGGCATAGTGACCACTGCCAAAAGATTTATGTCATCAAAAACCTGTATATGCTGGAAAAATTGGCTTTCTCAGGGCGACAGGGTTAAAACGTATGCTAGCTGATGCATGTTCGATGAAAATGTCATTCTCAGTACGGCACCCCTGAAAGAAACTGTCTATCACCAGCTGTCCCACCTCCTGCATTTTCATTCTCAGAGAGTTGCTTACTTATAACTTGTGCCCACCTTTGTGCCGGTCAGCCCCTGCCCTCCATCCTAGCACCATACCTTCTGCTTTATTGTTTTCCCAATCCTCCATGGTGCTTGATATGGCCAACATTTTGAAGCTTCTGAGACAAGTTGCAGTTTATCAGCTGTATAGTGTTATCATTGAATTAAATCTTACCCCCAGTATACCACAGTGTTAAGGAGGAAAGAGACAGCAATGAATATCTCTAGCACTTCTCATCTCCATGTCTGGAAGGGAGATTAACTTTTATTTCAATATGCAGCTGTTTCCCCATGGTCACCCCTTTTTCTCATGCTGTTACATTCACATTCAGAGCTTACGTCACTCAGCCTCCATTCAAGGAATGGAATGTTGATTTAGCCTGTAAAAAATATCCCGTCTGTTTACCTAATATCTTTGATGTCATTCATCTGTCAGCTTGGCGCAGTTGCTTCTGTCCTTATCAATCACAGTCGACCAAAGCTCAAGTCTCTAACATTTGTCATGCTATTGATTG